GCGCGCTCCGCTTTGCTCTGCTTTGCCCCCCCTCCCCGCCCCCCTGGCAGAGCAAAGCAGAGCCAAGCTGTGGAGCGTGTGGGCAGCGGACAGCCCTGTCCGCTGCCCACGTGTTCTGCCGCTTTGCTTCCTCTCCCTGGTCTGCTGGAGACCAGGGAGAGGAACGGCCCCGTTCGTAACTGCGGATCCGACATAAGTCGGATCCGCGTAACTCGGGGACTGCCTGTAGTTCTAAAAGCTGGAAAATCCCTGGGTCCCTGCTCAGGTGTCATCTTCCAAGAGGCCATAAAAATCTCTTCTCCCTTCCCCCTCAGTCCTTCACAAACCATTTGGTTTTACAGACTGTTTACACATGCTTGAGAAACAAATCCCACAGACACAGATTAGTGAACTATACCATGGCAGAATGATGATGCCAATGGAAGCTGTTCTGTGCTTGCAATGTGCTGAAGCAGGGAAGGAGGGAGGAACATGCATGGCTTTGTAGCAAATCTGTTTAGTTTCTCAACTTTAAAATTATCAGCAGAAATCAGAAGTCCTGACACTTATCAATCACCAACTTCACCTGGAATTCTTTTCACCAATATAAGTTATTTTTATATGTGAATAGATTTTGTTGTTTATAGGAGCTAAGGGCAGGGACTACATGTTAACACTAATCAGATGGGTAGCCATATTAGTCTGGATCTGCAAAAGCTACAAGGAGTCCTGTAGCACCTTATAGACTAACAGATGTATTGGAGCATAAGCTTTTGTGGGCAAAGACCCACTTCGTTAGATGCATGTAGTGGAAATTTCCAGAGGCAGGTATAAATATGCAGGCAAGAATCAGGCTAGAGATAACGAGGTAAATTCAATCAGGGAGGATGAAACTACGATACCCACATGAGGAAGTAAGGAAAAAGATCAACAGAGCCAGATGTGTACCCAGAATCCTCCTGCTGCGGGACAAGCCCAAAAAAGATACCAACAGAACACCACTGCCATCACCTACAGTCCTCAGCTAAAACCTCTCCAACTCATCATCAGTGGTCTACAACCCATTCTGGACAACGATCCCTCACTTTCACAGGTCTTGGGAGGCAGGCCAGTCCTCGCCCACAGACAACCCGCAAACCTGAAGCATATTCTCACCAGCAACTATACACCATACCACAATAATTCTAACTCAGGAACCAATCCCTGCAACAAACCTCAATACCAACTCTGCCCACATATCTATATCAGCAACACCATCACAGGACCTAACCAGATCAGCCATGCCATCACTGGCTCATTCACCTGCACATCTTCCAATGTAATATATGCCATCATGTGCCAGCGATGCCCCTCTACTATATACATCGGCCAAACTGGACAGTCCCTACGCAAAAGAATAAATGGACACAAATCAGATATTAGGAATGGCAATATACAGTAATTCCTCATTTAGCACTATAGATATGTTTCAGAAAATGATTGTGTTAAGTGAAAACGTGTTATGCAGGGTCAATTTTCCCATTGAAAATAATGGAAAAGGTGGGGGTTGC